GTTAGCTAAGAAGAGGAAAAACTAATGTTAGGGTGGGTTAGGACGAGAAAATAGTGAAAACAGCATTAGAGTGCTAAAAAATAATGCAAAGGGTGAGAATAAAATAAGTGGGGTTAAAGTGAGGTAATATTAGGGTTAACGCGGTGTTAAGGTAAGGTATGTTATGACTAGAAGGATATGCATAAAATGTTAGTGCGCTTTAGGTGGGTTTACTGTTTAGCTAAGGTTAGACCGGATTTTACTCGGATATTAATTTGAATTTGGAAATATGAAAAAATCAGCAATAAATAATCCATCGTTGTTTTATTGCAACTTAAAGTTCTATACCTCTAAAAAACACCCGTTACTTACATCCTTTGAGTTTCCGTATCCGTATTTAGGGAAATATACTTTTAATCCAACTTCCTTCAAAAAAATCGTTCTTTATTCTCTTCTTTCTGATGCTTTCCTCTTCCTTGTTTGATGTGTTTTCTTTAAATCTTTAATTTTCATTTGGAGTAACTTACGCTAGATTCAGCAAGAACTCCATACACCTTATCCGAGCATGTAAAGGTGAATTTCCATATTCATAACTTTCCTCATCTAAAGAAACTTTCAAGTTTCCAAAATTCTTTTGCGTCCTTTTGCAGATTGGGCATGACTTTGTTGACTTAGTATTTGTCAGTTCACTAACGACTTTTCTCTCAACCATGGTCAGGTGAAATTCATAGTAACATTTAACATATTTTCCTTCACTAAATTTTAGTTTTACGGGCTTTATCTTGTTCTTTAATGTCATTCTCGTCAGATTTAATTCTCAAGGGAACAACAGATACCATAAACATATCCGGGAGATATACTTTGTTAATAAACTCTTTGTCCAGATGATCCATCGCTGCCCCATTTACTGATCAACGTCAGATTTTTTTGAAGATTTTCTAACTCATTTTTAGGAAGACTTTTTAGAATTCGTTTTGCTGTGTGATTCATAAGATCCATACGATACTTTCGTAAATTTCGTATTGGGTGGTCGTGAACTTTCCTTTGCTTTTGAAATTTATGTTGCATCCACAAGCGTTTTTGTGGCGACATGAAACTAGGATCTGGGCAGTGTGAAAATTGGTAGACTTGCTAGTAAAAGATGTTATCCGGTTCGCTCTCTTTTTCGTACTACTTTATTGACAGCTTCACATAGTTGAGTTAACATACTAGATAACAGAGTTCACAGACTCTGGAATTCATACAGATAAAAATATACAGGGAAAAACGCAGTTTGACCGAACATCCCGGCACCCTTGAAAGGATCTGCTTTCAACACTTCTTAGTCCTTCAGGTCAGACGTTGGAATCAGTGCCAGCTTGTGAACTGGCGTAGAACAGTAGCCAGTAGGAGTGCGAAGATGAGCAACTCGAACCAGCCCATCCTTGCCCTCTACCACGGCTTCGATACGGCCGAATTTCCAATGTTGTGAAGGGCGATTATCATCGTGTATGATGACCAAAGATCCAACGTTGATGTTTGTTGTAGACTGAGACCATTTGGTGCGGGCTCGCAGTTCGTTGATGTATTCCGATGACCAGCGGCGCCAGAAGTCTTGTTTGATGGCCGTCACGACATCAAGATACTGAGGATTGGTAAAGTTGACAGTGTTAATTTGGCGCTCTGGTAAAGCGCGCAGCGATTTTCCAATTAATAGGTGACCTGGAGTAATTGCTCCATAATCACTCGGATCAGACGATAATGGTGTGAGCGGGCGTGAATTAAGAATGGTCTCAACTTCAGCCGCCACTGTGGTGAGCTCTCCCAAGGTCAGCCGTGTATTCATGAGTGTTCTGTTGAGCAATCCCTTCGCGCTTTTCACCGCCGCTTCCCAAAGGCGGCCGAAATAAGTATTGATTGGACCGCAAAAATCTATGCCACACTTGGAAAAGGGTTGTTGCGGCAGCAGTCGCTCAACAGGTAGTGATCCCATTAATTGCTCTTGCAGTTTCGGCTTGTAGCGAACACAAGAAACGCAGGATCGAGTGAGCGCCACCAACGCCTTTGATCCAGCGTGAAGGTGGCGAATATGAAGATGCCGTACATAAATCCATGAAATGTGCGACTTTTTGGGCAAAAGGATCGGATGTTTCTCACTTTTAGGGATATTGGCGTTTTCGAGCCTGCCACCGACTCTGATAAGCTGGAACCTTGACGATAATTCGATGAATGGATTTAGGTACTTTAACTGTCCGTTTAGCGGTCGAGATTTTTGCAAAAGTTTAAATTCCATCGGCTTGTTGTTGGAGATTCCATATCATGCAATCGGATGCGTGTCGTAGTTTTTCTGGTGTCAATCTACCCGCCCGTTTGTCCTTCTTGATAAAGACGGAACATCCATGCCATGAACTTATTGTTTCCAATTTTTCAAGAAGATGGTTAGAACTCACAATGGCTTTGAATGTGCTTTTTCGCTTCTGCAAATTGACTAGTTCCATGTCAAGATTCTTGTGACTGGGAGACGTGGGCCAGTTTGACATATGTTGCAATAGAAACGAGGGACCAGAAAACCATATTGAGGCTTGGAGCTCAGGCGTAGTTGCTCCTCTGGACACAATGTCAGTTGGGTAGAACGATGTTGGTACATATCTCAACTCTCCATTCGAAGTTGAAACTTGGATTTCGGATACTCGATTTCCCACGAACGTCGATAGTGTAACAGAATGTTCCTGTAGCCAATGTAAAACAATTTGGGAGTCAGTCCAAAAGTACGCTGTATGCGGCTTGTCCAGAAGTAGTGGGTGAAACCTTGCATACAACTGCGCCAGTAAATGCGCTCCGCACAGTTCCAATTTCGGAAGAGACTTTCGTTTCACCGGATCCACTTTGGATTTAGCTGTGAGGAATCGGACAGCGATGGTTCCATCGAGGCATTCGGTACGCAGGTAAATGGAGTAGCCATATGCCCGAATTGAAGCGTCAGAAAATCCGTGCAGCTGAATTGATTGGTACTGAGCCTTTATGCAATAGCGAGGAACTGAAAGAGTTGAACAACTTTTGAAGTCAGAGCTCGTAAATAACTGTCGACACTTTCAATATGTTCGACAAATAACACTTATTTAGTGACACATTGGGGAAATGGTCAGAACGAAACAGTTTAATTTCTGTTTTCAGTTTTTTCTGTCTTTGCTCAACAGAAAACAGTTTGTTTTGTGTCAAATGTGTTTCTGTTTTCCAGAGACTGTTATTCTGGGACAGTTATTCATATGTGTCTCAGTGTCAAACAGTAAAAGTTGAAAACAAAAATTTGGTGGCACAAGTAAATCATCTTCCTCTGAGATCGATTTCAATAAGCATCGTGAATTGCCGTCGACAGTCACCCATGCGATGCTGAGGAATTTACCTTTTCTCTGAATTTTTAGATGGTGTCCAGTCATTATCACAAACAAAGGAAGATGCTTCGCGTGAACCACTATCAAAAATGTATGCAGATGTGTAGAGTTTTGACATGACTTTCAGACGTTTACCATTGAACTCCAATATATTATTATGATGACCTGAAGATGCAATCGCCGTATTTAAGTGCTCTTGCCCGGGTAGTGCTGGCTACACCAGCCACACAGGTTACTGTGGAAAGGGCATTTTCCGCACTGCATTATGTATTAAATGAGAAACGAAGCTCTCTTAGTGCGCAAAACATAAATTCGCTTTTAGTTGTGAAGTTAAACGCCGAATAAAGTTTATTCGATAAATTGGTCAAACATCAAATTTTCATATACACTCAGGAACAAATTTTTACAAAATAAATTATTATTCGGCAATACGAAGTTTACATATATACGCTAAAACCATATCACGCATAAAAAGTGTATTTATATAACTACATATATGGAAAAGACTTAAAATTTTTAAGTTAAAAATATACACACACAATCCAAAAAGACGCTTATTCTGAGACAGTTATAGGTTTTGATCATTCAAAAACACTTATTCTGTGAGGTGAAAGCAAAAGTCTCCCTTTTTTTCTGTTATTAAGAGACAGAAAGAAAGTTTGTGTCAGCCGAAATCAGTCAACAGAAAACACTTTAAAAGAAAAAATAACTGTTTTCTGTCCGAGACTGACAGAAATTTTTAGATCTTTTCTGTTTTGTGAGTAACAAGACAGTTTCAGAAATAAGTGTTAACAGTTATTTAAGAGCTCATTTAGTGAGCGGAAACTGATCGCATTCTAGTATTTTGGTGACTTGATCCTTCACGACTCGCAAAGTCGGTAGGTCATCTGCTCCGGTTAGTAAATCGTCGACGTAAAATTAAGTCCTTATAGCCGTAGCACCAATGGGATATTCGGCGCCATGAAGATCTGCTAAATGATGTAGACTTCGTACAGCGAGGTATGGAGCGGAAGCCGTTCCGTATGTAACCGTGTTAAGCTGGTATGTACGTAGTTGTTCACCTGGAAAGTCTCGCCAGAGAATGTACTGAAATTTGCGGTCGTTTATGTCAACATTTACTTGCCTGTACATTTTCGCTATGTCGGCGGTTGGGGCATAGCTTACTAGTCGAAAACATAGCAGAAGCAGAAACAGATCATCTTGTTTAGTTGGGCCGCACAGTAAGATATCATTCAATGAGACTTGATTCGACGTTTTACATGACGCATCGAAGACCATTTGTAATTTTGTGGACTCACTCGTTGGCTTCATCACACAATGATGAGGGATGTAGTAGTGCGGGACCGATAAGTCAGGATTTGTTACGAGCGACATGTGGCCCATTTGTTCGTACTCGTTCATGAACATCCTATATTGGGTGTAGGTTTCCGGTGAACGGAGAAGTCGCCGTTCGACGCTGAGGAACCTTCGACGAGCTATATCAAAGGAGCTACCGAGCTGATTGGGAGAGTCCATAAATGGCAACTTCACAACGATCCTTCCATTTTCCTCTAAACGCGCTGTCTGCTTAAAGTGCTCCTTACACAATTTGTGTTCGGGCTTGAGTCGCTTAGCTGATATTGCAATTGTTTCCACCTCCCACAGACGCGTTTACTTTGTGTCGATGGCGGATAGGCTTTGAGCTAGATATGCATAGGACTCCCTTGATTGATTTGAACGATGGCTTCCTGCGACTACCCATCCGAATAGCGTCTTTTGAAGAGTCGGCAAATGGGATCCGAGTTTGACTTGGCCCACTGCGAGAATATCGAAGAATGCCTCTGCGCCTAGCAGCATGTCAACGCTCCGGGAAAGATGAAATTGATCATCCGCTAACGGCATATTGGGCGGAAGATTCCAGGTCGAAATATCAATATGGGTATCCGGTTGATATGCGATGGTAGGCGTTATACAGAGGTCGAGAGATAATTCGAAGGGCGAAAGTCGAGACTTTATTGTCGTTGATGTGCGATGCTTTATGTGTGTATGCGAGTCGCCAATGCTTCGAATTTGAATGCTATGCTTGTCCCGCGGCAACCTCAGTTTTTGAGCAAAAGCCTCGGTCATGAAATTGACCTGGGAGCACGAGTCAAGAAGTGCTCTCCCGAGTCGGTAGGAACCAAGTGAGTCCTGAACTAGCACCATTGCTGTGGCTAAAATAACCTGTGATCCTTCCTTTGCATCAGATTGCGCGTGAGCATGGGTTGCAGCTCCGATAGGATGCGTCAGCGAACTATCATAAGTTGGTGCTCCGCTGAAATGTGGTTGAGAATAGGCAACTGCTCCGCCAGGCTGTGGTTGCGAATGAGCATACGTAGCTGAGATCGGTTGAGACGAACTAGTCGATGGTTGTGGAGACTCAGCCTGCAGAGAGCTGTGGTGGTGCAGTAGCGTATGATGCGGCTGATGGCAGCTTCGGCAGCGATTTTTCGACGGGCAATTCGACACCTTATGGCCTTTGCCAAGGCAGTTGACGCACAGGCCATTCTTTTTTACCACTTCTAGACGTTGCTGTGAATCCAATTTCCGAAACTGGTCGCATGCCAGGAGTCTGTGTCCGCTGCTGGAGCACAAAATACACATGGCCTTGGTGAGTGCAAATGAAGAGTTATGAGCGTTGTTAGATGCAGACCAATTTGGCTTCGACTGGAAAGCCTTCCGAGTTTGATTCGAGGAATTTCCGCTGGACACTAAGTACTGACAGTGCCGTTCAAGTACATTGACGCACTGATTCCAGGATGGCAACGACGAGTAGTCTAGCGATTCGTTCCATTTGTTCCGAGTTTGCTGATCGCACTTGTCCATGATCAAGCAAATTAGCATTGACTGCGAGATTTGTTCATCCGAGCCAAGCGACGACAGTGAGCTGAACAAGGCGGATGCATTATCGATGAGGCTGCGTAATTGATGTGCATTTGACGAGCTTACAGGCTGCAATTTTAAGATTGATGTTATTGTTTCCATAAATATTAGCGCTGGCTTGTCATATCGAGCCTTTAACTTATCCAGGGCCTTTGGAAAGTTCTTACTGGTGACTGGGAACGCCTTTACTGCTTCCAGTGCTGGGCCCCTCAGACAGTTGAGAAGGTGGTTAAACTTTTCGATGGCTGACAAATTCTCGTGAGCAGTGAGCTGCGTAAACGACGTGATGAAGTTTTTGTACTCCGTGTGAGTACCATCAAAGGTGGGCAGCGGCAGTCGTGGAAGTTTCGACTGCGGTGGTGCTGTGGTACTGGACTCCAACACTGTGCTGCTTAGATCTTCGCCGAGGAGTTGTTTGATAGCCAATTTAGTTGTAATGTACGTATCCTCGATGTCAACGCGCCCGTTGTCGGTTGAATCCAACGTTTCAATTTTGGATTGAATGGTTAGTGCCTGTCTAAAGTAGGACTCCAAAATTCCCAGACGACATTGGAGTTCAGCGGCAGAGCGGTTGAGCAACTCCTCCTCAACATGATCATCAATAATCGATTTAATTCGCGAAATGTTTCTTTTAACATTTGCTCTTTGACGCTTGGCCTCGTCAAGAGGGCTTGGATTCGGTACCATGATTTTTTCAGTGCAGTCAACTTTTTTGAGGTTAAAGCTGATGCGTGCGAAGCGACCGAAAACTTCTGCGACGGTGTAGCGCGACGTCTTGCCATCAATTTACGAAAGCGACAAATGTGTGGGCGACAAATGTAAGGGCAAGCGGCTCACCGGTGCATAGAAAGATCGAGAATCGAAAGCAATTCCAATTCTGAGTCGGAAGTAGATCAAGAATAGCGAGCGCAAAGCGAAGACGAAGAATAGTCCCGTTGGTTAGCGACACTGGACTGCACTTGCGTTGGTATGCGTGTGTGTGTGCAGCTATGTGCAGACGGAATGAGCGATAAAGGCAAGGTTTTTTGCACGTTTAAATAAGTAATTATTAATTTATTTAAACAATTTAACTAACACACGTGCCCCACGTTGGGCGCCAAAATGTTGCATCCACAAGCGTTTTTGTGGCGACATGAAACTAGGATCTGGGCAGTGTGAAAATTGGTAGACTTGCTAGTAAAAGATGTTCTCCGGTTCGCTCTCTTTTTCGTACTACTTTATTGACAGCTTCAGTTGAGTTAACATAGTTGAGTTAACATACTAGATAACAGAGTGCACAGACTCTGGAATTCATACAGATTCATACAAATAAAAACATACAGGGAAAAACGCAGTTTGACCGAACATTATACTTGTATCCGGGTAAGAGGTCAACTCCGTGCCGCAGTAAAGATTTCCGTAATATCTCATACTATTCTTTGGAAAGTTCTAAGTCCATAAATAAAGCCAATGCCTCTTCCTAGCCATACTTCTTAATAGGTCCATTCGAAGGCGAGGGAATGCTTTTCTTAGTCCTTATAAGACGCAGCGGACTAGCTGCTGCTGGTAGTTGTTGACCTAAACAGTTCATATACTTATACCCGTTACTCGTAGAGTAAAGGGGTATATTCGGGGGTGTCACAGAAAACCATTCCAACCGAATTTCCCCCGAATAGCAATTCGAATTTTGCCGGACGTTTTGATAAAATTAACAAACTTACAAATGTTTCCCAAAAATAAAACTTTATGTAAGACAACTCTAATGAATTTTATGAACTATCTGCATACTACGATGTATATACTTACTTCGGGTTATATTTAAAAATATGCTTTTTATAAAGCCTCTCGAAAAAATTAGCTAAAAAAAATCCGTCGGCAAACCCTCTACCTGACAGTGTTACCAACTAGCTAGAACTTTAAAACACCAAATTTTTTCCAAATTTCGAAGTTAGTTATCGAAATGTTTTGTTAACGAATTATTTATTCAAAAAAAATTCTTGCCAACTTACAATAACCAACTTAAATAAACCAACTCAGCCGCGGCAAACCGCTGTTCAGGGCTGCAATACGCAGCCTGGCGGGTAATTCAAATTTTTAATTTTTTTCCTTTATTGTGTACAAATTGCGCTTTAAACATATATTCTATTTTGTAATTTTGCACGAAAAACATAAATTAAGTTTAAAACTTATTGGAAAATAGTTAAAATAAGTCAAATATTCGGTAATTATTAAAAATTCGATATTTAATGTATGCATCCAGCCCTGGTCTTTTTTCGGGAAATTTTCCGAAAAAAAGAAATCTCTCGAATTCCTGTGACACCAACGGTTTTGGTCGGTTGGTTTCTAGGCCAACCGTCCCCAAATCCGTCGACGGTTTCTGTGACACCCCCGATTGTATTCGTGCAAAAGTATGTAACAGCTAGAAGGAAGCGTTTCCGACCCCATAAAGTATATATATTCTTCATCAGGATCACTACCCCAGTCGATATAGCCATGTCCGTCTGTCCGTCCGTATGAACGCTGAGATCTCGGAAACTACATAAGCTAGAAAATTTATTTCAGCCGAGCGCCGCGCCCCCTCTAACGCCCACAATCGTCCACTAACGTTTTTAAAATGTGTCTGGCGCCAAACCTTTAAAGATTTCCGAGAAGTATAAATGAAATTTGGTTTGTTTGAAATGAAGAAGAGATTTTTCAAATCGGACCATTCATTAAAAAGTTATGCGCAATCAAGAAAAGGTTATATATCCATATCCCTCGGACTCCCATTAGCTGAGTGACGGGTATAAGATAGTCGCACAGTGGCGCCTTTTAGCTATTTATAGCTGATTTCCGCTAAACTAGCGGGTTTTTCCAAAAGTGGTAGAACTAAAGTTTCTTATACTGAGCTGTTGAACATCATATCAAATTTTCAGGACTTTAAAACAATGTTTTGGACAAATCTTTCACAAGGTTTTTTACCTTTTTTGGCTCTTAAAACCGCGGACGCACGCGGACGTAGCTACAACTTTGCTAATATCAAGAAGAAAGTCCAAATAACGTTTTAGGGAAGCATAAAAAAATAGTATTAAATAGTTTTTTTTTTATTTTCCATCAAAGTTGAAAAATATGAAAATTGACGTTTCGAAAATAACGCATGACTTAGAGATGCGGCTGACAAACTGCAATATGTTTTATTTTTTTTACTCTTAACTAACACACCAATCCGTGAAAAAAGAAGCAATGCGATTCTATACCTAGTTTTTAAGATACGCCCCCCGGAAGTGCGAAAAATTACCTAAAAACTGTGTGTTGTTTTCAAGTGAAAAATTTTTCAACTTTGAAAGGGAATATTTTTTACAAAAATTTTTTGATTTGAAAAAGGGTCGATTGGTATGTGTCGAAACTTTCTAGGACAAAGTCGAAAAAGGGATTTATTGCATGCTTTTGGCCCAAGGCGTTCTCTCTTGTTTTGAATTGTGAAAATCCATTTTTTAACTAAAAAACAAGGACGGAAGCTAACTTCGCAAGCCGAAGTTTTAATAGCCTTCCAGATTTCACGAATTAAAATTTGACTACATAGCAACATGAATTAATAAACAAAATATTTCATAATTCAAAAAATACAATTTTTAAATTTTTCACACTCTTGTTCCTATAGGGGCTAAAGGATATAGACGTCCAATCGGCACGCGCTTTTACCCTGATCAAGGTACGCACAAAAAAATACGATTAGGTAAGATTCATGTCAACAGCTTTTACACTGTGCGAAATATCTTGAATTTCGCTGTTATATCCTATTGTTGCTATGGGAGCTATAGGATGTAGACGTCCGATCGGGTCGGTTTTCAAACTTAATCTGCATACATGAGGGTGAAAGTTTAAGGTCGCTAGCTTTTAAACTGAGCTCGCAAACGGTATTGAAACAGACGGTCAGACGGACATTGCTATATCCACTCCCCTATTGATCCTGATCAAGAATATATATAACTTATGGGGTCGGAAACATCTCCTTCACTGCGTTACAAACTTCTGACCAAAATTATAATAACCTCTGCAAGGGTATAATAAGGCTAATACAAAAAACATGTGTCTTCACCTTTCAGTCATAGTCTAATCCAGGTATTAAGCATACAATGCAATATATAGTGTGAGTTATTACCTGATAGGTACAAACACGTGGAGAGTTTATCAAACGCAAAAAACGCTAAGAGATGCGGCTGGCAAAATGCAATATGTTTTTTTTACTCTCAACTAACACAGCAATCAGTGGAAAAATAAGTGGAAAAGCGACTCGATACCTAGTTTTTAAGATATACCCCCGGAAGTGCGAAAAATTGATTTGAAAAAGGGTTACATATTTGTAATAGGAGATCAATTTCCTTTTGCTTGGTACGGGTCGGAACTTTCTAAAACATTTATAAAGTTATAAAAGTAATTTCGGGTTTTAGGCGTGTATTTTTAACGAACCCATATATGCCAGCATTTTTGCATTTTCTCCAACTTTTATTTAATTTTTTCCCGATTTTTTTTTATTTTTTTTTATTAATGTACAACACGTCAAGAATGTTGTGTTAACGTTTCATGTCAATCGGATGAAAATTACGAAAAATATGACCATTTGAACGAGAGGCTGTCCTTGCCGTCTCTATACCTATCCAAAACTTTAAATCGTTCTCCTGAAAAGTATGTTTTTTTAAGTCGGTGAATATTGTCCATCGAAATCTAATGTACCGATCATTCTGAAATCCGCAGGTAATCAGGTCGAGTTTTTTTTTTTTTTTTTTTATAATAACTAATATAGACAATTTTGTATGCTAAAATCAGGTTTTTGGCTTCAAAGTGTTACCCAAAATCCAAATATTAAATAAAAAAAATCAATCTGATTACCTTAAGAAACATCTTAACTAATGGACATTTTTTTTTGTTTTTTTCTGATGATCCAGTAACGAGTTATGCTGTTCACCGCAAAGCCTCTATTTTTGGAGGCGGCTACGGAGATTGGCCGCAGACGGCACCCCCCGCCCCCCCTTACGTGCGCATTTCATCAATTTTTTTGTAAACTGGTGTTAGCGAGCTCTGAGCTCTGATAAAGAACGACATTTTTAGCTAATCTAGGAAGAATATCTCAAAAACAAGGTATATAATCGTCTTACTTTTTGTTTCCACTACTTGGTGTGAGTACTACTATTCATACCCGTTATTTGTAGTGTTAAAAGGGATATTGTTGGAAAATATGTAAAATCATGTAACAGGTATATAAAAGTCAATGCACTCGATTATATTGTTGTTTCCTGTTTAAAATAGTATTTTTGAAAATTCTTATTGCATTTCTTCTGTTCATTTAATGCACTCTATTATATTGCTGTTTCTTGTTTAAAATAGTATTTTTGAAATATCTAATTGCATTTCTTCTGTTCATTTAAAGGGTAGGACCTTTGTTGCTCTATTTGATTATTTAACTCTGGAACAGTCTGAAATCTCTATGCGTGAAGGCGGTATGATGGAGCTGCTGAAAGTGGGATGTGCCGGCTGGTGGCATGTGAGAGCCCTAGGCAATTTTACAACTGTTAAATTAAAACCGTTTATTTTAATTGTTTGGATCTTGTATTATATTCGAGTTGAAAGAATTTTATTGTATGAAGTTATTTCTTTTCTTGGGACCTATTCCTGTATTATTTCCTCTATCAACATTCTTGCACCATGTATCTCTTATAAACATTACCGAT